AGATGTTAGATAACTTTTCTAAGCTTACATAACCAGCAAGAAGACCAGGTTTCAAATCCTGGGAGACTGGCGCCAAAGAGTATATCCCTCCTCTTCTCTCCTCTCCCCTCTCTTCCCTTTCCTTCCCCCACTTTCCTCCATCTTTTTTTTTCCACCTTGTGTTTTAAGACAGGGTCTAACTATATGGCCTAGGCTGGCCCTCAACTGATGGTACTACTGCCCCAGCCTTCCAAATGTTAGGGCTTATAGGTGCATGCTATCATACCCAGCTTCAAAGACATTTTTTGTTCTAGACACAGTCTCAGTTCATAGACTAGGTCAAGCCTCAGGATCTAGATAGAATAGGAACTTCAAAATAAGATACAGAATAGAAAAATTTGGGAAATTTGGCAATTAGAGCAAGTATGTCTAGAAAGCTGGGCAAAATCCAGGGCTTCCTAGACATCTAGCTTGAACCCAGACCAGTGTCTGCTAAAGGATTATCAGAAGCTTTCATGCTCAAAAAGGCTCTTATTTAAATACTGTCTATGGTCGCATTGCAAAGTTGAGTGGCTATGACAAGAAACTACATGGTCTACAAAGTCTAACATATTTACTATCTTGCTATTTATAGAAAAAATTTAACAGTCCTTCCTCTAACCATTAAAGACCCATATAATTTCTTTGATCTTCTTTCCCAAACATTCCATTTTCACCTTGCTGGATTCTTTTTGATGAAATAGGCCAGGCACACTCCTATCTCATGGCTTTTTCCAATGGCTGTTTCCTCTGCCTGGAACACTTTCATCCTAAACATCTACATAGTTTTTTTGTCTTGCACTGAAGTCTTTGTTCAAATGTTACCTCCATAGTTAGTCCTACCCTAACCCTCAGCTTAAACTTGTAACTCACACTCCCTGCATCACACTTCGGAATTCCTTACTGACCTCCACAGTCTTTTCCACAGCAGGTATCACCTTCTAACATTTTATTTAACATCTATTGCTATCTACTTTTACAAACTAAAATATAAACTCCACAGTTGTAGACCCAAAGTAAACCCTAGTATACAATTAGGCATATACAGTTGTTGAGCACATTAAATTCCTTATACTAAAGTTTGTTATAAGGATGCAGTTCAGTGGTATAGCATTTGCTCAGCATACTTGAGATCTTGAGATTAATCTCCAGGACCACACAAAAATAGAAGTGGGAGGACCTTGGACTTTCCGCAGGGCAGGGAATCTGGACTGCTCTTCATTCTCAAGAGGGAGGGAGAATGGAGTGGGGGGGAGGGGGAGAGGAGTGGGGAGAAGGGGGGAGGGGGCAATGTGTGGGAGGAGAGGGAGGGAAATGGGAAATGGAGAGGAGGCGGATTTTTTTCAACAACTAAAAAAAATAAACAAAAAATAAAGAAAAGAAAAAAATGCATAAATAGCAGCATAGACACCAAGAGAAACAATTAATAAATGGGACCTCCTGAAACTGAAAAACTTCTGTAAAGCAAAGGATGCAGTCAGCAAGACAAAATGGCAGCCTACAGAATGGGAAAAGATCTTCACCAACCTCACATCACACAGAAGACTGATCTCCAAAATATGCACATAAGTCAAGAAATTGGTCATCAAAATAACAAATAATCCTATAAAAAAATGGGACACAGACCTAAACAGATAACTCTCAACAAAGGAATCTAAAATGACTGAAAGACACTTAAGAAATGTTCAATATCCTTAGCCATCAGAGAAATGCAAATCAAAACAACTCTGAGATTCCATCTTACACCTGTAAGAATGGCCAAGATCAAGAACACTGATGACAACTTATGCTGGAGAGGTTATGGGTAAAGGGAACACTCTTGCATTGCTGGTGGGAGTGCAAGCTTGTACAGCCCCTTTGGATGTCAGTATGGTGATTTCTCAGAAAATTAGGATATAGCCTACATCAAGACCCAGTAATACCACTTTTGGGTATATATCCAAAGGATGCTTAATCATGCCACAAGGACATGTGCTCAACTATGTTTATAGCAGAATTGTTTGTCATAGCCAGAACCTGGAAACAATCTAAATGCCCCTCAACTGAAGAATGGATAAGGAAAATGTGGTACATTGAAGCAGTGGAGTACTACAAAGTAGAAAAAAAATAATGATATCTTAAAATCTGCAGGCAAATGGATGGAGCTAGAAACATCATATTGAGTGAGGCAACCTAGACCCAGAAAAACAATTATCATATGTACTCACTCATAAATGGTTTTTAAACATAAAGTAAAGCAAACCAGCCTGCAAATCACAATCCCAGAGAACCTAGACAACAAAGAGGACCCTAAGAGAGACATACATGGATTTAATCTATATGGGAAGTAGAAAAAGACAAGATCTCCTGAGTAAATTGGGAGCATTGGGACCTTGGGAAAGGGTTGAAGGGGAGGGGAGAGGAAGCAAGGGGAACAGAGAAAAATGTATAGTTCAATAAAAATCAATAAAAAGTGTAATCTTTTCTAAAAAAATGCATAATAGCCTCAATTTAGTAAGAGTTCTCTAAAATCAAGAATCTGAAACTTTAAGAAATAAAATTAAAAACCATTGGTTTACAGACAAAAAAACCTCTAGAATGTTCCATCTACTCATCTGTTTATCCATTAGCCACCCATTAATCTAGTATTTACTGTATGTCTAACCATGTCAATGTGTGGGGAAAGCGTAGAACAAAACTAGGTAAGATAAAACTCATAGATGAACAATATAATAGAACACAGAATGTGTAGCCTAAGGCTGCAATGCAAACTCAGATCTGCAAAGGTTAAGGCCAATGTTTTTTTTTCCTCACTATGTTATTAATTACTGACTGCATAAAAATAATCTTTAACAGCAAAATAGTAGGGGCTAGAGAGATGGCTCAGTGGTTAAGAGCATTGCCTGCACTTCCAAAGGTCCTGAGTTCAATTCCCGGCAACCACATGGTGGCTCACAACCATCTGTAAAGAGGCCTGGTGCCCTCTTCTGGCATGTACACACACACACAGACAGAATATTGTATACATAATAAATAAATAACAGCAAAATAGTGGGAAATGTGGGTGCCATAATGATGAGAATAAGTAATTTTTTGAATACAAATTCAATCTCCACTATAAAATTATTAAATAATGCACATGGAAAATATTGTTTTGATGGAATATATGTATTATAAATTAATTTGATACAAGGAAACATATATGCATTTATTTAATGAACCCTAAATGAATACTAATGGCGGAATGGTATCATCTTAGCCTTTAAGAGGCTCATATATGGAGAGCAAACAGGAAAGAACTTAAACAAACACAATGTGATAGGTTAGTGGCTCAGGGTTTCTACTGCTATAATAAAACACCAATACCAGGCCTGGCACAGTGATCCATGAACTTAATCCCAGCACTTGGGAGGCAGAAATGTGTGGATTTCTGTGAGTTCGAGGCCAGACTGGTCTACAAAGCAAGTTCCGGGACAGTAAGGTCTGTTACACAGAGAGCGCCTGTCTCAAAAAACCCAAAACCAGGAAAAACAAAATAACAAACATCCTCACAAAAAAACAAAAATCCACCATAATCAAAAGTATCTTAGGGAGAAAAGGATTTATTTCATCTTACAACTTGCATAATCCAGGCAAGTCAGGACAGAAACCCAAGGCGGGAAATGATGCAGAGGTCCTGGAAGTCTACTGCCTTGTTCCTATGGCTTGTTCAAATTGCTTTCTTATAGTACCCAGGACGAGACTGGAAGTGGCACCTCCCCCCAAACACATGGTGGGCTGGAACCTCTCATATCAGTCATCAATCAAGAAAATGCATCACAGGCTTGTCTACGTACCAATCTATTTATGAGCATTTTCTCAATTGAGTCATTTCCAAAATAACCCTAGCTTGTGTTGAATTGACATAATACTGGACAGCAAAGTCCATAAATATTAGGGGGACACTTTTCCTTTATAAATACTAAAATGTTATAGCTAAGATAAATAAAATCAGCCAAAAGAAATTTTTAAAAAACATGACAAGTGCTCATATTTGTTAGATGACAAGTCTGCAACCTGTTATGCTAAGCAGCAGTGAACACCTAGAGTCATTGTCTTAAGTTATGACATTACAGAGACTCCTTTCTCTGAAGGTGTACAGGAAAATCTAATTTCAACCGTCATACAGTAAAACTATGGAATGGAAGGTCAGTCCTTCCTTCCCACTTACAAGCAGTACCACCTTAGTATGTTTGGAACAGAAAGTGAAGTGATACTGTACCTCAGATATTTTAGAAAACATTACTTGTACTGCCACGTGCAACATAGAAGCCTATGAGAATGATTTTCAAAACTAGTCACCAGACTATCTATTCAAATATACCTTTCCATACTCAAATGTTTATAGAGCCATCTATTCAATCATTCTGGATCTTAAATTGACAATTAATGAATTTACTGAACATGGGAGTTATAGGCTTATAGCTTATTCCTACTAAGAATGAAATCACTCAGCTTCAGAGTTCAGTTAATTCATGAGCTCTGACACTAAAAGGTTAAATACCACTATGAGTATTATTTTGAGAAAGGGTCTCACTATGTTTTTTCAGGTTGGCCTTGAACTCCTGAACTGAACTGATTCTTCTGTCCCAATTTCCTGAGTAGCTGGGCCTAAGGTGTATATATCACTATGCCCACAACCAATATGAATGTTGAAAAGAATAGGCTTAGTGGTTAAAACCATTTATTGTTCTTTCAGAGGATCCAAGTTCCCAGCTATGCTGGATGGTTTACAACAACCTGTAAATCCAGTTCCAGGAGATCCAACACCCTCTTCTAGCCTCTGGGGGTACCCACACACATACACATAAATAAAAATAAATCTTTAAAAAAACCCATGCTGAATAGCCTGGAAGCAACATCTGAAAAGATTTCCACACATGCTCTGTGGAATGACACCATCCTGCACATGAGAGGGGAGACTCTTGGTTTTAGCTCAATTCCACTACTTCTCAGGCACTTACCTGAATACAAGCCCCCGTCTTCAACTTGCATAGGCTGCAAACTAAGGCCCACCGGCTAGGTGGAATATGGGAGATTTTTGTGATAGGTTCCATTCTCTCAGGACAAGCAATACTGACCTACAAATAAAATATCATCATAAGGCAGAGGCACTAGGGCATCTCAGAAGTACTTTTCACAAACTATAAATGATGTTATATGAAGCTGAGAACATTAAAACAATGAGGTAAGCCATATCTTCCAAGGTTAGTATGAAACTAAGAATAAACAAAACAGATCTCTTTTCATTGCTCAGTCCTTCAGTTACTTCTAGCAATGTAAACAATTCATATATGTGATGAGAATGCACGAGTGTAGACTAGGTAGTCATGGTTACCTTAAAGAATCAAGATATATCCATCTTTACTTAGGAACCAAAGAAAGTTACTAAGGAAAGGAAAGAAAGTTTAGAAATTCTAGTATCTGTTTTATGTTAGAGATGGTACCACATGCCTTGCTATTTCATTTAATCAACTAAATATAAAGACAGGCGGTGACAGATCTTTATATTTGGTTCACAAAGCAGGATAATATTGTTGGAAAGTAGCAGCAAATTTATGTAATGAAGAGACTGCAGCATGTAATTAGAAAGAATGAGGATGATATCACTTCTAAACCCCAATCTTTAAAACTATGTAACTATTATTAGCTTACCCTACTCTCTCAGCCAAAGTAGCTTCAAAGTGAAATTAAGTCTTTGGGGATGCTGAAAGGAAAGGTATACTTTAAAAAAGATGAAAAAGTTCTTTTCCATCTGGAAACAAAGGGTCAATGTAATTACTGCTAAAAATGTGTTTTTGTTTCTCTTTTATAAATTTATACATGCCTTTTAAAAGAAAGAAACTGTTTTCTAAATATTTGTTCTTGTGTATGCATATTTTGCCTGCATGCACATATATGTGCACCACATGTATGCCTGGTGCCATGGATCCCCTGCAACTGGAGTTACAGATAGTTGTGAGCTGCCATATGCGTGCTGGGACTTGAACCTGGGTCTTCTACAGCCACAGCTAGTGCTCCTATTCACTGAGCCATTTTTCCAGACCCAAGAAATAAATGTTTAAAATTATTATTTTTGTTTTATTTTGAATCTAGAAATCAAGAATTAGAAGCCCTAAGAGAAGTTTTTTTTTTTTCTTTCAAAACAGGGTTTCTCTGTGTAACAATTCTGGTTGTCCTGGCACTCACTCTGTAGACCAGGCTGGCCTTGAACTCACAGAGATCCACCTGCCTCTGCTTCCCAAGTACTGGGATTAAAGGTGTAAGCCACCACCGCCTGGCTAAAAGTTTTAGTATTTTTTATTTTTGAGATAGCATCTATGTAACTCAGGGTGGCCCTTAACTCATGACCTTCTTATTTCAGCCTTCTGAGTGTTAGGATTATAGATGATTAGTTTTCCTTTTATGAGTGTGGTACTAGGGATCAAGTCCAGGCCTTTGTACATGCTAAGCAAGTGCTCTACCTCTGAGCTATATGCCCTAGCTCTTGTTGTTTTTTTCTCTGTTTGAGATAAGGTCTCACTATAGCTTAGGCTACTCTTGAGTTTACTATGCAGCCCAGGCTTTGAACTTTTGACTATCCTGCCTTTCCAACCAAAGATGCATGTTTACAGGCATATGTACCAGGGCTGGCTTCAACCTTTTTTAATTTAATTTTTTTGGTAATGGAGACCTGCTTTGTTCATATTAGGCAAATACTCTACCACTAGCTACACCCTAGCACAAATCTGTGGGTTTTGTTTGTATGTTTACAGGGTCTAAGTATGTAGGTTGGCTTTGAGCTCACTAGACAGTTCCAAGCTGGTTTCTAGATCTTAATCTCCCAAGTATAGGGATTACAGGAATGTACTACTAGTTTAGAAGCCATGTTTTAATTAAGTTAATGAACAATAGCAGGATGAATAAACAATATATCCATAAAATGGTAAACTACTAAGCAATGTAAATTGATGAACTACTGATACATATTACAACATGGAGTGCTAGCCAGACAGAAAATAATACTTACTGTATGAATTCCTTTTACATGAAGCTTAAAAACATATAAAACTTATCTATAGCTGATTAAAATCAAAATGGTTATTATTCCCAGGAAATAAGGAAAGGAGGGGATATAAGGGAGCCTTCCAGGATGCTATTAGTATAGTTCTGTGGTATTTCATGTCTTAGACTAATTTGTGGCTACAGTTTTTTTTTTTGAGACAGGGTTTCTCTGTCTCTGTAGCTTTGGTTCCTGTCCTGGAACTAGCTCTGTAGACAAGGCTGGCCTCGAACTCATAGATATCCGCCTGTCTCTGCCTCCCGAGTGCTGGGATTAAAGGCATGAACCACCACCGCCTGGTTGTGGCTACAGGTATTTTAAAGTAAGGTAAAGTTTACTTTTAAAATGTTTCTCACACTTTGTCTTTTTTTTAAAGTAGTGTGTTTATTTTAAAAATAGTAAATAGTTTAAAAATATTTGTTTATAAAAATTTACTATATGTGTATACATGTAGAGGTACTTGTGGAGACCAGAGGTCATCAATTCCCTGGGAAGCAGAATTAAAGGCAGTCAGTTGTGAGCTGCCTGACATGGTACTGGAACTGAACTCAGATCCTCTATAAGAGCACTGTGAGCTCCTAAGAGCTATGCCATCTCCATCTCCCACACTCTGGTCTTTTATGCCTCTTCTCTCAAACAAATTTATCAAACACCACTGAAAGTACCACTCACAAATACATAAGTTTGGGCTAAAATGCACACTTGTGTCCAAGAAGACCTGAGGTAGCACAGAAATCTCAGAAATATAGGCGAGCAGGAAGCATTTCCATGACAAGTATCTGTCTGTCTAAACATCATGGGAAGTAGGACACCCTGGAGTAAATGGTCCCAGATTCAGATGGTTTCTTACTTCTGGAATCCACAGGGCACAACTGACATGGGCCCATTTAGTCCCTGTCCTGGTGGTCTTCATGGCTCCACCTTTCTTAGGACACAAAACACACTGTGGATAAATGCCCAGGACACAGGAACGACACAGCCAACTGCCTTCTGGAATCTTAAGGATGCCATAGCAAGCCTGTAGGCATGAGGAAGAGAGGGAAGAATGGTCAGTGTATCTGTATTAGCACTAACACCAATTTTGACACAGTTAAGAAAATATTCTCTGTTTTGGGGATAAAGACAAATCTAGCTGAAGAAGTTCTTAAAGGATTTAGCAAATTTTAAACACTAAAAACGAATGTAGCAGCAATTGAACTAAGATTAGCATGCCTATCTAGATAGAAAAAGACAAGGTGGAGATTCATCCCAAAGTTAGCGAATTATTAACATAGAGTTGGGTTACAGACATTTTTATTTAAAAAAATGGAAAATGGATTCTTTTTCCTGTTTTCCAAATTGTCTTCAATGTTTATATATTGTAACAGGTCATCAAATCAGTACTGGAGTAACTTCAACATGTCATGTACTATTGTGATCAAGAAAAAAGGGGATAGAAAATAGTGAACTATATGAATACAAATCAGCTAATGTTTATAAAGAGTCTAATACGACCTGGTACATGAAAAACATTCAGCAAATTGTAGAAATTATTTGTTTAGGTTGAACCAGGAGACTCGTGAATTGAATCACAATAATCCATAATGAGTTCTGAGAGGTTTTTTAATTCTTTATGTAATGATATTAGAAAATAAATGAACTCAGGGAGGTAGAAGATTACTTGAAATTATTCTAGATCCCCCATCTTCAATTCTGTCCAGTTCCCCTCTTAATTGCTCTAATCTATTTCTGAAAAAAAAAATGCTTCCAAAATATTTTGCCCACTTTGACTACTTGCCATGAACATATTTTCTTCTGACTGAAAAGACCTCTCTGGTTTGACATACATTTTTACATTCAGCATGAGTGCCACTTGTTGGAAGTTGTTTTTTAATTTTTATCTCTTCCATGCATTTCCACACGGATTTATAATCTATAAAATCAGCTGGTGGAGAGGTGGTGGTGGCACATGCCTTTAATCCTAGCTCTCAGGAGGCAGAGACAGGCAGATTTCTGTGAATTTGTGGCCAGCCTGGTCTACAGAGTGAGTTCCAGGACAGCCTTCAAAGCTACAGAGAAACCCTGTCTTGAAAAACAAAAACCAAAAAACCGAAACAAAAATCACCTGGCACTCTGGTAAACTGGTAGTTTCTTTTTAATCATTATACTGTGGTTTTCTTGGGGGAGGGGCAGAAAGTATATCTGGTTCTTCATCACTGTGTCACCATAATGCAGCATGGTCCTGGCTCACAGATGGTGCTTAGTGCATTTACAGTATTTGTTACATAAACTAATAATATGAATAAAATATATAATATGTTCAGAAGATTAAAAATTTAGTTAGGTAGAAGTCAAGAATTGAATTGAACTACATCTTGGAAGATACGTACACTTTGATAACCTAAGGTAGGAGACAAGACTGTGTATGGGTATCCTTGTGTGTGTGTGATTGCGTGAGTGTGTGTGTATGCTTAAGCTGAATGTCAAATGTGTGTGTGCTTGTTATGTGTGTAGGAGAAAAGACTGTGTATGGGTATCCTCTTGTGTGTGTGTGTCATAGGTTAAGCTGAATGTCAAATATGTGAGTGGTTGTATGTGTGTGTGGAGGTCATAGGTTAAGCTGTATGTCTTCCTCAATTGCCCTCCATATTGTTTCTTGAATCAGGGTCTCTTAAGAATTTGGTTCAGCTAGATTGGCTGGGCAGCAAGTACCAGGGATCCTATCTCTGCCTCTCCATGTGTGCCCCTGTATTAGTTTTTTTTAAAGATTTATTTATTTATTATGTATACAACATTCCTTCCATGTATGTTTGTATGCCAGAAGAGGGCACCAGATCTCATTATAGATGGTTGTGAGCCACCATGTGGTTGCTGGGAATTGAACTCAGGACCTTTGGAGGAGCAGGCAATGCTCTTAACCACTGAGCCATCTCTCCAGCCCCCCCCTGCATTAGTTCTTTATGTGTGTTTTGGAAACTCAGGTTCTCATGCTTTGGCATCAAGTACTTCACCAACTGAACCACCTGTAGCTCTCTTTCAGAAGATATTTTTAAATTCAGACATGGCTGTAAAATGAAGATAGGATAGTGTTAGCAATATTCATCACTGTACCTCAAGTGACCTTGTTTTACCACAGAACAGAGCATAGGATATGGGTAAGAGTTGAAATAAGTGCTGATATCATTAAAGCTAACATTATTAATATGACAGTGTGACAGAACAAATGTCAACTAACTTGCATAAAGTCATTTAACCTTTCCTTACATTGTTTGTAATACTAAGATGAGAAAAATCTCCAATGTAGATGACGCAAGAAGCACAGGGACTTCCTGAGTGAATAAAATGAGAAAAATCTCAATGGTCTAGACATGAAATGACAAAATAAAGGCCTAGGTTTAGCCTCTTGGGGGAATATTAGTAGGTAAAGCAGCTTAGGGACCACAAGCAATGTTTCTAGAGAAGTACTGAAGAACAGCAAAGCCTAATTTTGATTTTCACCTTTAAATATAAGACATTGTTCAGATATGAGTGTTAGAAATAATAATCACTGAGCTTCAAAAATGTTGACCATTGCCAGCAATGCCACTCTTGGGAATATACCCAAGAGATGCCTGATCTTATGACAAGGGCATTTGTTCAACTATGTTCATAGCAGCATTATTTGTAATAGCCAGAACCTGGAAATAACCTAGATATTCTTCAATGGAAGAATGGATGAAGAAAGTGTGGAATATATACACATTAGAATACTACTCAGCGGTAAAAAACAATGACTTCTCGAATTTTGCATGCAAATGGATGGAAATAGAAAACACTATCCTGAGTGAGGTAACCCAGACCCAAAAAGATGAACATGGGATGTACTCACTCATAATTGGTTTCTAGAGATAAATAAAGGTCAGTGAGTCTATAATTTGATATCCTAAAGAAGCTAAATAAGAAGGTGATCTTATAGAAAAACATATAGCTATCCTCCTGGTTATGGGAAGTAGACAAGATTGCTGGGCAAAAATTGGGATCTTGGGGGTGGGGTGGGAGGGGGGGTAAGGGGAGATGGGGAGAGAAAAGTAAGAAGGGGAGGATTGGGGGAACTTGGGGAAACGGGATGATTGGGATAAAGGAAGGTTGGATAGGGGAGCAGGGAAGCACATATCTTAATTAAAGGAGCCATCTTAGGGTTGGCAAGAGACTTGGACCTAGAGGGGCTCCCAGGTGCCCAGGGCAATGTCCCCAGTTAGTTCCTGGGGCAGCTGAGGACAGGGAACCTGAAATGACCCTATCCTATAGCCATACTGATGAATATCTTGCATATCACCATAGAACCTTCATCTGGCGATGGATGGAGACAGAGACCCACACTGGAGCACTGGACTGAGCTCCCAAGGTCCCAATGAGGAGCAGGAGGGAGAATATGAGCAAAGAAGTCAGGACCACAAGGGGTGCACCCACCCACGGAGACAGTGGGGCTGATCTATTGGGAGCTCACCAAGAACAGCTGGACTGTGACTGAAAAAGCATGGGATTGCATGGGATAAAACCGGACTCTCTGAATATGGCGGACAATGAGGGCTGCCGAGAAGCCAAGGACAATGGCACTGGGTTTTGATCCTACTTCATGTTCTGGCTTTGTGGGAGCCTAGCCAGTTTGGATGTTCACCTTCCTAGACCAGGATGGAGGGGGGAGGACTTTGGACTTTCCACAGGGCAGGGAACCCTTACTGCTCTTCAGACTGGAGAGGGAGGGGGAGAGGAGTGGGGAGAGGGGAGAAGAGTGGGAGGAGGGGGAAGGAAAAGGGAGACGGGGAGGGAAATGGGAGGCGGGGAGGAGGCGGAATTTTTTTTTCAATAAAAAAATAATTATATTACAAAAAAATGTTGACCATTGGAACAATGAGATATCAGATTAAGGACACTTGGACTAAGCCTGATGATTTTAGTTTAAACTTCTGAACTCCAATACTAGAAGAACCAAATCCTAAAAGTTGTCTTTTGACTTTAACACTAATATGTTGACCTTGTATGAGGGGGCAGTCTCCATTTCCACTAACCTGATGCACACAGACGTTACACTTATCACAGAATACCATATCATTCCCTTCTTCACTGTCTGGAGACCGGCACACATCACAGATCACATCTTCATCATATTCTATTCCTAGCCCTTCTTCTGTCTCAATAGCATGGTTCATATTTTCATGGCAGTGGCGTTCTAGAACTTCTATTGTTTTTTCCATAAGCGTCTCATCAATTGGCCCATAACCTGCACAAAAATAAAAACAATAACTCTTCTGTCAGCTGTCATTCCCAAATCATCAACTGCAGGGAAAAGCAGGATGTTAAGGGACAAAGCCATCTTTTTTTTTTTTCCTGATCTAAAGCAACCAGATTTCAAGGATTTTTTTTTACTAGAGAAATTCTAACATTGAGTAAAATAAAATTAGTGTTTAATACATTAATGAAGAAATACATCACAGCACATTTTCTTTTTTTTTTTAAATATTTATTTATTATGTATACAATATTCTGTCTGTGTGTATGACCGCAGGCCAGAAGAGGGCACCAGACCCTGTCACAGATGGTTGTGAGCCACCATATGGTTGCTGGGAATTGAACTCAGGACCTTTGGAAGAGCAGGCAATGCTCTTAACCTCTGAGCCATCTCTCCAGCCCCCACGGCACATTTTCTTAAAAATTTACAGATGCTTACATTTTTTTACTAAATCCTAGTCAGGGGGCTAGTGAGATGACTCAGTGGGTAAAGACAAGTCTGATGACTTGATTTTAATCCCTGGAAACCTCATGGTGGCAACAAAGAATCAACTCTCAAAAATTCTCCTCCACACACATATACATAAATAAATATAAAATTAAAAAATAAATCCTAGTCAATCTCCTGCTAAAACCTTAATTAATTTTCTCTTATTCCTACTAATAAGACTTGAACCAAAGGTGTAACTTTGAACACTTTAATTTGTAGCATTTAAATATTTTACTTGTTTGAGCACAAATAATATATTAGTAACTTAGCTTCACTAAAAATACTTAGTGGTCATACCAAGAATTTTTCATTTGATAATGTATTAACCCATAAAAGAAAATCCTAGGTAATATGTATATATGGATATGTATATGAAATACTGTTTTTCAAACCTGATTTAAAAATATCAAATACCATTTTTCAATAACAAGCAATAATAGAAACCTCTTAACATTCACAAAGATTTAAATGTAATTCTGAAATTACCCCTTTTCTTCCTGATTCCTTTTTCTTTTTATACTTTTATTTTTCTCCTCACCCTCCACATTTAACCCAACTGAAAGACTCATAGGGCTGATACTGGTAAAAACTAAGTATTTTTCTTCTTAAGAGGACCAAAAATCCAATGATTTTTGGAACATTATTTAGTTACTTTTAGAAACTAAGGAATAATTTTCAAAATGATCCAAGATAAATTTATCCAACAATATTTTTAATGTAAGACATCTAAAGAACTTTAAAATATGCATGAATTACCTTTTAAAATTTTATCTACTTATGAAGCAAAGATTTTCTCTGGCTTATTTTCAGCCTAGACATACCATATACACATACATACACTTACATACACATATGTGTATATCAAATACACATATAGATATGCAGGAACAAAGCATATAGTGTCTAGTCTGGATATATACTCAAAGAATTCTATATCCCATCACACAGATATTTGCATATCCATGTTTTTTACTGTTGCTCTATTGACAATAGCAAGAAAATGGAATCAGCCCAAACAAATGCTCAACTGATAAATGAATAATGCATATATAGTATAATTTTATCAATTCATAAAGAAAAAATGAAGTTCACAGGAAAGCGGAAATAACTGGAAAATATATTTTGTGTGGTAACATGGTCTCAGAAAGATAAGCACCATGTTTTCACTCCTATGTGGAACCTATAGTCTAATCTTTAATATATTTATATTTGTGTAAGAATGATTATGTATTGAGTTCAGGAAAATAGAAAGGGACCTATGACAGGAGAAAAAAAGAGGCCCCAATTAACAAAGATGGGTGGGAAAGGTAATAGAACATGTGATTTGAAAACACAAGGGGGAATACCAAATATAAGGGTTTAAGCAGGGATGGGAAGTGGGGAGATGAGGGACTGAAGACTGGATAAACCAAAATTTAGTATGTATGAAAATTTAATAAACTTGCTACTTTATAAGCTAATTTTAAAAAACAGAGTTATAGAGTCTAGTTATAAAAACTTGGATTCAAATTCCAACTTTATCTCATATTAGCTAAGCAAACTTTGTTATCTTACTGTTCTTATCTATAAATGATAATGCTAAATTCATTAACTTGTGAGGATGGAATGTTTGCTCATTGGTTAGTATTGTACCCAGTATATAACCAGCATACACATTTTAAATTCTTTAACTTGAGCAAAAATGCTTAATTTAATATTTTTAAAAGTTTATTTTAAGCTCTAAAACGTGTGACTATAACATCATTCTTCCTAAAGAAAAATCCAACACAAGGCAATTCTCCTCAAAAACTCTGGATCACTTGTTCTTCTAGAGGACTTAGGCTCAAGTACCAGTACCTACATGGTGAATTGCAACCATCTGTAACTCCAGTTTCAAGGGATTTGATGCCGACTTCTGGCCTCTACAGATACCAGGCATGTATGTAGTGCATGTACACACATATAGGCAAAACTCTCATATAAATAAAATAAATACATCTAAAATATTTAAAAACTAAAGTTCAATCAAAAACCTATTTTTTATTTTGTTGAGATTATAATATATTCACATCATTTCTCTCTCCAAACCTTTTCATATACCTTTCTCATTTTCCTTTAAACACATGGCTTCTTTTTTCATTAATTATTGCTCCATGAATATATGTCTATAAATATAGGTTCCTAAATATAACCTGGTCAATCTGTATAATGCTACATGTATGTATATTTTCAGAGTTAAGCATTTGGTACTGGATAACTGATCACTGTGATCTCTGTTTCTCTTGCTCTTAAACATTCATTGTGTAGGGTTGAGTACTGCACAATAACACTAAGAATGCAATAGTGGTTATTCACACCTTGCTGGTTAACCAATAGCTCTCTAATTGAACTTAAAACCCACTTAACAAGAGGGAAACCGTACTGGAAACCTAGCTAATTACTCAATGCAAGCAAAGTCATGGATATTGAAGGAGAACCTAAAATCACTACTTTATTAAAATCACTACTTTATTAAGTCCATATAATCCCTAACTACATTCTAAACATTTGTCCTTATATCCACAGATAAGTGTAGTCTTCACCCTTCATCAAGGAAACTTGTCTTTGAAACAAATATAGACCACCACAGAAAACCACAACCAATCAAAATGAAGAGTTGTGGAGCCAAGTCTCAATTGATATATCTACAAAACATGTCTGCTCAAGCTAAGGGAACATTTCAGATGAGGGAGCAGTATGATTGTAAAAGCAAGAAGACCAGACCAGGGAGTTTGTTGTGAGATTGTGTCTCCTAGTGATGTCAGAAGCTACACACACAAAATCTCACCAACATGATTACCTATACATGATCTGAACAAGGATGACACAAATAGACATGCTAAAGTAGACGGGAAAAAAGCCCATGAAGCCTCACCAGTATACACATAAAACATCTCTTCTAAGATTAAATGAAATGTATTGCCCTGGATGGGATGGGATCCTAGACAAGAAAAAGATTAGTAGAGAAAAAATAAAAAGCCCAAAATTCTGGAACATCAGTTAATGGTGATGGTTTCTTCGTCCCAACAAATGCATCATGGCAAAGAAATATGTTAATATTAGGACACAGAATATACTTTAGGTATACATTTGTATTCTCTGCACTGAATGTCTATTTTTTTCTGCAAATCAAACTCTTCCATTATAAAAAAAAATCCTCATCCAAAGAGAATTAGTTGTAAAACATTGAACTTATAGGGCAGTTTCTTATCAAAGGAAGCACTGTGATGGTTGTGTTATCATGAATTCCATTTGCATGCAAAACCACACACTGTGGTACTTGATTATGCCTTTGTCCTTCTTTTATTCCATTCTCTATGATTTACACTCTAAATTGGCCACACGCTTATTCCTCTTAGAGAACAAATAAAGAGGAAACAAAACATACTAAGATTATAAAACAAAAATTAAGAAGTAGTTGTTGGCAAAGTAGCTTCCATCGCCATGCCAAAGAGGATTTAATATAATTTTAACTTTTCCCGCATGTATTCATATACTAGCTTTAACATAGAGAACAAACTGAAGGTAGCTAAGAACTAATGGACTTGTCCATTAATAAGAGTGATTTTCAGGACTGATCCAAAAACATGTCTCAGTATCCTTTCTAACCAGAAGTTCAATCAACCATCACTACACTAACATTTAGCATTATGAAGCAACATCATGAAACTTATGTGCCATCTGTATCTATACTGAATAAATGAAGAAAGGATCACTTAAATTTTATTACTCTATGTTAATACTGATTAAAATTAATACTGATAAAATACTGCTATACTTTATACATTTGAATAAATAGCTCATTTCTTCAAAAATAAAAATAAGTGAGAGGGTAGGTAAGAAAGGAAAGCAGATGAAAAAAGTTTTACAGAGTTCTACCAATTTAAAAAAAATCACTGGTGAAAGTCAATGCACAATTTACTTGTAAGAAAACAGCTTACCCATTTCTCCAAGGTCTTCATTGAGTTCTTGAAGCCAGAAGGTGTCCATGTCATCTAGGTCATAGCGGCATGTAGATGCTGCCAGCTCTAGGGTATTGATATAGCCAGGCTCTGCAGACTCTGGGCTAGAGCAACGGATATATTTCCGTGGCCGGACAAAGAGAACTTCCTTTACCTTTTCAGATATAATCCTAGAAAAGCAATAGAAAGACATTGGCAACTATCAACAAATGACAGATTGCAGGTACTGACAGGATAAGCCAAATGACTCTGGCTACACAAGGGCACATGTCTTGCTATTCCTTCTGGGAGATATGGCAGATCTCTTTCTAGAATCAAATGATTCTGAAAATTCAGTTTCATCATCTGCTGTGAACTTGTTGACTGATAATGATGTGCTTCATTCACCTACACAGATCTGGGACCCTACTACTATTTATTCTAATAAAATGTTGATGTATTGTGTATTCTTGACCTAATGGTCACCAAGTATATTTAAAAGGGAAAAATCTGGGATTGAGTGTTAGCTGCACAAAGGTATTATGTTTAAACATACACCTCAGCAAAACCTGTGATTTTTTTTCTTCCATGGACAGACTAGGTTTTAGACTTACACAAACCTGTTTCTTTTTCCTGTCATTCATTTGTAAAGTGGTTCTGAAAAATTACTTAATTTAGATAAGGTTCAGTTTTCTTTATGAAAAAGTAGGGACAAGAATAATAAATTATTAAAATAACACCAAACTTGTAAGATTATTATGCTTACAGAAATAAAGTATTTGTTACGGCACATAATAAAAACATGTTTTAGTAACACTAGTGTTATATTTCTTACTACTTTCATTATGCAAATGAGTTAAAGTCAAGAGATCATAGAGTTGCATAAACTCAAGATATATGAGAGCGGCCATAGATCTGAGCCAGGGCCACATGATGGAAAAAAAATTCCTATTATTCCATCAACTTTTGTAGTGAGCTTGAGCAAATCCATAGCCTTTCTGATACCTAAGAACTCAAGGCAAGAAAACCAATCAGGGAAAGAAATGTCTACAACTTAATCTATAATTGATGGTTTAAGTACCAGATGAGGCATCAGAAAATATAACCAAAAGGAAATTTGGATTATCTTTTCTTGGCAATTTTAAAGAACAGTGTGGGTTATCTAAAAAGGGGGGGGGGGAAGAGAAATACTCGTATTATCATATAATAATGAAAACCATTCCTCTGGAAGGATTTTAGAGCTAATTTAATTCTAGAGTCATTATATGTGTAGGATAATTAATAAAACAATATCAATACATGTAATATATATAATTGACCATGTAAGTGCAGAAAGTACATATTTTCTTCTAAGCATTCTTCCCAAAGCTTATGATTTCAAATAAAGTATCTTGAATAGTTAACAAATATATATATATTTGTACATTAAAATTATTCTATTATATGGAAATCCAAAACCAAAAGCAATAAATATTAGAAGAAAATGCTGAAATCTTAAGCATTAACTGAAGCTAAATTTTATTTTATTTTTTTGAGACAGGGTTTCTCTGTGGTTTTGGAGCCTGTCCTGGAACTAGCTCTGTAGACCAGGCTGGTCTCGAACTCACAGAAATCCGCCTGCCTCTGCCTCCAGAGTGCTGGGATTAAAGGCATGTGCCACCATCGCCTGGCATGAAGCTAAATTTTAAAACTGTATTCAGAGGCCTGCTTCTAACTGAAAAGGACAAAATACATGCTCTCCAGAAACTTCAAGATCAAATAAGTATATAGTGCTTCTTTGATACATGGCCTTACAAGGAAATTATAGAATATTTGATTTTCCCTAAAATAGATTTTATAACTAATGGTTTATCTCAAGTGCTTTAAACTGTACAAGAAAAAAAGTTGATTATAAATTTTCTTGAATGAAGCTTTTGTTTATAAGGCTCTGGAAGAACACAGAGGAGAATACATTTATGACATCAGGATAGGCAAAGATATTTTAAACGAAACACAAATGCCACCAAACACAATAGGAAAAGATTGAAGAAACATACACACTAAAACTTTGGTTACAAAAAGAGAGTGAAAAAGCAATTTTTGGGGTAGACGATATTTACAATTAAAGATATACAAAAATTCAATTAAAAACTAGGCAAAAGATTTAGGCAGACACTTCATAAATAAGGCTACCTCTTGCAGCAGATAAACAATTAAAAGGCTCTCAACCTAACTAGCTATCATAGATATTGAAATCATAATCACTGTTATCTACCAGAATGGCTAATATTTAAAAAATTGACCCCAAACTGGTCTTTGAAGGTCTAAGTGATGGTAAGAAACGGAAGCAAATAGACCTATTGTTACATTGCTGGCTTGGGCATGAATTGATATATGCCACTTTGGGAGCAAATACAGTTATAAGGTATGTACAGGATATGAACAGATATATATGTTCTTTGACCTAGCAAATATATTTTTAATATATTTAAATTTTAAATAAAAATGTACAGACATTTTATTATTACAGAGGGTAAAAAGGTTCACTTTCTACAATAGCTGGAAACAACCTAAATGTCTTACTAAAGGTGAATGGATAAATTGTGGCATATTCAAACAATGAGATATGATGCATGAGTGAAAAATGAACTACTGCATGCAACAGCATAGATGGATCGCACAAGCATAATGATAAACAAAACAATCCAGTCTCAAATGAATACATACTATAGGATTCTATTTATATGAAGTTCGAAAACTGGCAAAACTGTTACCTACGGTGAGGGAGGTCAGTTACTGGCAGGGAGCAGAAGAAAGGCTTCTGGGGTGTTGATAATGTTCTATTTCTTGATCTGAGTGGCAGTTAAATGAATACGTTTAATTCATAAAAATTCATTCAGCTATACAAAAACGCATTCTATATTTTCTGGGTATACATAATACTTCAATGCAAAGTTTATCATAATGATAATTAAAATGGTGATGTTACCTTAGTCATTTTTCCATTAAGTTTAAGTAACTAAAGTCTGAATCTAAGAACAGAAACAATAACACCAAAATGCAAGAAAACACATAGGTAAAAGGTTAAATTAATGTAAACTTACAAGAGAAGTTACTGAATTTATGACAGAAGAGAAGATCTGTGAAAATGTTATTTTGGGATTTTTATCTTACTTTTGGCTTCTTGAGACAGGATCTCACTATGTAGCCCTGGCTATCCCGGAATTCAACATGTAGTTCAAGCTAGTCTCCAACTCACAAAGAATCCACCTGCCTCTGTTTTCTGAGTACTGTGATTAAAGACATGTGTTACCATGCCTGGAGGATTTTTTTTTTTTTTGAGACAGGCTCTTGCTATGTTCCCTGCTTCAGCCTCCCAGGTGCTGGGATTACAGGTGTGCTATCATTTCCAGCCTGGGACTTTTTAGAAAACAGCTTAAATCATCATCATTTACACATGCACACATGCAGGCTCATGCACGTGTGTACACACACACACACAGGCACACACACACACACTTCCAGTTATCAAAAGACATTTTGCTTCATGTGTGTGCCTGTGTGTGTGATTGCTATTGCTTTAGAGCAGTGGTTCTCAAGTTTCTTAGTGTTGCAACCCTTTTATATAGTTCCTCATGTGGTTATAAAATTGTTTTCATTGTTACTTCATAACTAATTTTGTTACTGCTATGAAATGTAATGTAAATATCTGACATGCAATTCCCAAAGGGGTTGAGACTCACAGGTTGAGAACCATTGCTTTAGAGGAAATCCTAGAATACTATGGTTTTCTTTGCTAGTCACTATGGACTAGGTATAGAGACACTATGAATGGCATCAGATCACTGACCATATCAGCAAATGTTCACAAACACAAAGGTTTAAGTAATTTTGTTAGAACAACATAAGCATAGCTTTCAATTTAGATCCTTTAGTATAACAGAATGTTGTAGTAACTTTCTAGATGACTGGCTTTTGGTAAAGTACCCATATCCACTTCTCTATAGAAAGGTTTATTCACCTGTTCTTCACTAGTAGGTTAGAGTGGCTGGAATATTATTAACTCTGGCCCAAGTACACACTGCTGTGCCACTGAGGAGTCATTGAAAATGAAATTATTATTACTGTTGTTTGACCTAAAGCTTAACATAGTGTCTTTTTAAAAAATTCTTTTATTCTTTTTTTTTTTTTTTTAAAAGAGAACTATCTTTTTTCATTTTACACACCAATCACAGTTCCCACTCCCTCCACCTAGCCCACCCCACCCTACCCCCTATCCACTCCTCAGAGAGGGTAAGGCATATGGCTTTGGGGAAGGTCCAAGGCCCTCCCTATTATATCTAGGCTGAGCAAGGTATTCATCCAAAGAGAATAGGCTCCCATAAAGCCAGTACAAATAGAAGGGATAAATCCTGGTGTCACTGCCAGTGGCCCCTCAGTCTGCCCCAGTCATACAACTGTCAACCACATTCAGAGGGTCTAGTTTGGTCCTATACTGGTTCCTTCCCTGTCTGGCTGGAGTTGGTGAGCTCCCATTAGCTCAGGTAAACTGTTTCAGTGGGTGCCCCCATCATGGTCTTGACCTCTTCGCTCATAGTCTCACTCCTCCCACTCTTTAACTGGTGGGTCGCTGCCTCTGTTTCCATCAATTGCTGGATGAAGGTTCTATGGTGATATTTAAGATACTTAATCTGACTACAGGGCAAGGCCAGTTCAGGCACCCTCTCTTCTATTGTTTAGGGTTTTAACTGGGGTCATCCTTGTGGATTCCTGGGAATTTCTCGAGAGTCAGGTTTCTTGTTAGCCCCATAATGGCTCCCTCAATCAAAATATCTCTTTCCTTGCTCTCACCTCTGTCCTTCCACTATCTTGACTATCCTGTTCCCTCAAGTTCTCCTCCCCACTTCCCTTTCTTTCTTCCTCTTCCCCTTCCACTCTCCCTTCTCCTTCCATCCCCATGCTCCCAATTTTGTCAGGCAATCTTGTCTATTTCCCCTTTCCAGGTGGATCTATGTATGTTTTTCTAAAGGTTCACCTTGTTACTTAGCTTCTCTAGGATCATGAACTATAGGCTCAATGTCCTTTGCTAGCATCCACTTATGAGTACATACCATGTTCATCTTTCATGCTCATCAGGATGTTTTTTTTTTCTAGTTCCATCCATTTTTATTGACAGTGACCTTTCAGGGACTTTTCAAATGACTTTCAAATG